TTATATTGTGCATTCACACACTGATTGGTACAAATCCACAAAGTATTTTTGCACATTCAGATGCAACTTTGTATTTTACGCCCCCCCCCCCCAAAAAAATACTTCATAACAGAATTTGTATGCAGTTAAATACTGCCTAATGATTCATTGTGGGAAAAGGTGGTAACAGGAGGTAGCAGGATGACTCTTTGTTCCCTTTTTTTTTTTTTGGCAGTTCTATGTTTTTCTCAAGGATATTAACAAGGGACCAGACTTCTCTCTGTAATCACTAGGCAAGCGCCCCGCTGACTCAGAGTGATTAAAATCTACTGTCTAATTGTATTTGTACAGATGACATCAATAGTTGTAAAGATATTTGGGCAACTAAAAAAGTTTAAGAACATGAAAACATGCTTATAAACTTTGCTATCTGAAAACTTCTCTGCAAATTCTCATTAAAACTGCTTGAAATCTTTAACTTCATGCTCAAAGAAGTTGAGGTAAACACACTAATGACTATGATTGTGTGTGTTGTGTGTATGGCTGAGTAAGTGTGAGGGAGAGGGAAAGAGGGATGATCTGATCAATCACAAAAACATGCCTTATTTTTACCCTGATTGGTATTTGAACTGGACTCATGCAGAGGGACAGGACTAAGCAAAGTGTGCATGTATCTCTTCGTGTGTGTGTGTGTGTGTGTGTGTGTGTGTGTGTGTGTGTGTGTGTGTGTGTGTGTGTGTGTGTGTGTGTGTGTGTCCTGAGCAGCATGCATGGAAGTGCAAAACTGACTAACATGCGAATCGTTAACTTGATACCAGAAAAAAGATACTAAACAAACCCAGAAAACGCAAACAAGACTCTTTCGCGCACACCTACGTAGTATACACTGTGCATACAAAGACATACATAGAGAAAAAGACAGAGCTATCTGAGGTTCAGCTTCTGTGCACCAAGGCAATTTGTAATATAGATTTCCTCTATAAGCCACTGTAGAGTACCATTTACCATTTCAAACCCTTTGATTTTTTTTCACCATTGGATAATTCATCTTCTGCCGCTCAATAACCGAGATTGGGACCTAATGAAGGAGTCATAGTCACAACGGCCATCACACAGGTGTTTAAACACAGTTTGGAGTCAAATTCACTGAAAAGCTCATTGGTTTTTGAAATGATAGAGGACACGAAGCATGCAAAGGAAAAATGCAAAGGATTGTGAACAAGGGTGGGTCAGTGAGCGCATAACATATACAAATACATACTTTTTGATGCATACAATAAAAAAGTATTAGAGTGATTAACTGAATCATTTACAACCAGATGTAATCACTGTACTTGCTCATACAGTATCTTGAACTTAAACCCAAAGGTTACTGAAACATTACAGTTACAGTTACAACAACACCGGTAGTATTGGGAGCATTTTTATTAGCTGAGCAATGTGTTTCAGCCACAAGCCAAAACATGCACATACTACTTAGGCTGCATGAACTTTTACCACTTTAGTTACTAAAGCGGAAAGCAGACTTTAGGTTCCATGCCAGAAGGCTCTACTCTGTTTCTACTAATACTAAAAGGCCAGAGAGGAAGTCCATTATTGATATTGGCAAGATTCTGAACTCATCTAACTTGTCAGTCCATTAAGGTCACCTGATAGGGGTTTGCAGTGTCTGCTTTACTATCTTAGTCATTAGATGCTCATGGCTGTTGCTCCTTGAAAGGCTGTGATGAAATACTATGATGCGATGGGTAAGAGCTGGATGAGAACATTTCTTACACTTTCATATTAATCCATTAAATATAGGGCTATAGCCTGTTTGCTCAGCTTAGCATGAAGTATGGAAACAGAGGGAAACAGCTAGCCCAGTTCTTTGGAGGCCCTGTAGAGTCAGGCTAGCTTGTAAAGTGTGCCCACAGTTTTGCAATCCTGTATCCACGAAGTTGTGGGATAAAAGAAAAACAAAAAAGGAACTGGAGTTTGGGATTGGATCAGCCAAGTAAGTCCACTTTAAGAAATCTTAACAGTAAAATCAAGGAGTTGACATTTCACAGCTTTCATTGTGTGTGTAATGTGTACTTCATGCCAAAAACAAAAGCTTCAATTTGAGGCAGTTTAGTAACCTACAGTTCAACTAGTCCAAAAATCTGTGTGAAGACTGCAAACTCAGGCACAGATTACAACATGAGTTAGATAATGGTCTCAGAGGCCTCTATTCCCAGGCAATGGGACCTAGCTAAACAAACAGCTAAAACATGAAAGCTCGCTTAGCTCAATAAATAAATAAACATCACAAAGAAAAGTATCTTGAAAAATTACTGTATAGATAAAAACGGGAATCAATCAAAAGTAAACATGATAAAATAAGGAACTTAAATCAAAAATCAACGTGGGTACGGTCATATAAGGTGCTTTGCTAGCTGTCCCTGTGGCAGCGAAGCTGAAACAGATGCTAGAGAAGGTTTTCAGCTGCATATCCAGTAAGCGGTGTACTTTCCATTAATTATCCACAGCTATTCACTACAGCCACAGTCATTTTGATGACCTCTGCATAAGCTCATCGAGGAACCCAAAAATCCAAACGGTGTGTTGATTCCAATGAGATTCAAACAATTACAGCACTGATGAATTCCCTTGGCAAGTATTATGGATGCATTCCAACAGCTAGCAGTTCACTATCCAAGCCACAGAAACTTTCCTTCTTAGGTAGCATATCAATCCCTCCACGTTTCTTCTAACCGCTAAGATTAATGTCTCTGTCCACACGAAAAGTCTTGAAGCCAGGTAAGGTCACACTGTGGTCCACTAAGTATGTGCACCAACATCTCACTGCAGTGCTCCAAATAGTACATGGCACAACACTCTGTGCTTTTCCTCAGAGAATGGTCTTAATCAGCTCGCCAAGCTCATCTGTATCATTGTCTAAACGCACCAAATACCCCCTGATGATCGCTGGAACAGCTCCATCATTGAAACCCCAAAGTTTCCTGTGTGGGTCCTCCAGGATTACAGGCCTTGCACTGGGCAATAGAACTGTCAGCACTATCAGCTGGTGAACAGCCCCCACTGCAAGAGTGTAAACTGAAGAAAAACCTTTAGTAGTACACTAAACTTGACTTTGCAAGACTTGCAGAACAAACACTAGATGTTTCAGCTTAGTATAAATCACAATGAGCAAAAAAAAAAAAAACCTAAAATGTTCCATTCATACATCCATTTTCTTAACCGCTTATTCAATTTAGTCACAGGGATCTGGAACTTCTCCCAGCTGTCATAGGGTGAGAGGAAGAGAACACCTTGAACAGGTTGCCAGTCACATCACAGGGGGTTACAACCACGGACACACACTTACACTCCTACGGCTAATTTGGAAGCCCAGTTAACTTAACATGCATGTCTTTGGACTACCTGATGAGAACCCATGCAGGCACAGGGAGAACATGCAGCAACCTGCACATAAAAGCCCCAGCCGCCGCATTCAAACCCAGAGCCGTCTTACGGTGAGACAGCAGTCTATTTTTGAAACTGTATTTTTTAATGATAGAAATAAAAGGAATTTACTGTATTTATTTGTGAACATTTAATTGCTAAATTTTTCCATAAGAATAAGAAAATTTCATCTTGATGGATTAAGTGCAGATAAAATTAAAAACCATGGGGACTGGGAGAAGAAAAACAACTTATTTATCTTATAAGATGTTTCCATATTTTTGAGGAATTTCCCGAAACGTATCAGCATGAGGAACAAAAATCCTTTAATATTGCAACTTTTATTATAGAAGAAAGAGACCTTTTTTTTTTCTTGATAATTCTTGCACTAGCAGTCATTGGCACGTCTGCTTCAATCAATAGTCTGACATACCTCTGACAAATGTCATGCAAAATTTTTGATCACAGACAACAGAGAAAAGAGAGCCAGCCACGCAGCAAAGGCAGACATGAAAGAGTTTTCAACACTCGTGAAATAGATGAAGAACTCTTCGCCAGCGCTGACATGGCTTGTGACTGACCAATCAGCTGGCCTTAGTTGGTGTCTTACTGGCCCTGGGCTATCACAATTGTCAAGCCATGGTGCACTAAACAGAAGAAAGGAGAGCCGTGTTATGTGGACTGCATTATTCACAAGGACAGAGTGGAGGAAAAAAACGGAGTAAGGTGAAGGAAAGTGAGTGAAGGGGAACAAAACGAAAAGAGAAGAAAACAACAGAGCACATGAGTGAGAGAGGACAGAAAAACAAGAGTGGGAAAGAAAAGAAGGCATGAAAGAGAAAATGAAATACATAAAGGAAGAAACTTGAAGGTAAAAAAAGGGAACAAAACACATAATCAAGGCATGAGAGAGCACCGTGGTGTGGGGAAGCTTACGGCTGGATTCAGAGTTTGTCAAATCTAAATGAACATCACTTCCCTACACTGGCTATGGCCCTAATTATCCATTCTGCCTTTGTACAGCGGCAGCTCAGCTCTGACAACTGCTCTCCCTTGAGATTCCCCCCAGCTCCCAGCTAGAACATTAGGGAATATCAGGGAATATTACACCTAGGAATTAACGCTCCAAATCACCTTGCTAGGTTTAGGTCCCGCATATACCCCTCCCTTTCTTGGACAAGATAATCCTGGCTCTAGCACCGGATATATGCCACTAATCATCAAAAAGGCAAGGGGTGGGGGGGTTGCAGGGAGAGAAGGAACAGCAAGGAAGATCTTCAAGGGAAAGAGAGAATAGAGGAGATCATGAGTATTAGTATTCATGTTTATGTAGTACAGTACACCTGGCTTAAATGTTTCATCCAGATGGGTCAGCGAGAAAAATCAATAGGCTGACTGGTAGAAGAGTTAGATAATCGCATTTAAATAATGTAGCGGTAAAACCTGGCATAGCTGTAATTTATGTACACACAGTATCAATTCATTTTCTTCTCAGCAAACACCTCACCTGCGTTGTGCCCCCAGCCCTTTTTAAACAAACACCTGAAATTATTTGGGAAGACTGCGTCACTGAGGTTTGGTGCGTATTTCTTCACCTGGTCCAATGCATCCTGTTTCTCTCTCTCTGCTGTGAGTTTCTGATGGACAGCCTCTGTCAGCTCCTTCTTCAGCCCCGCAGCCATTGACCTGCGAGCGAAAACAAAACAGCCGAGCTTAGTATCATCCTAAGACGAGGCTTATCAACGAAAAACAAAACAAAAACACAGCTTAAGTGAGTAATTCGTTTTTGGTTAAACTGATTTCATTATTCAAATGTATTTTACAAATACATTATTTCCATTAGCGCAAAAACAAACAGAGACAGAAAATCCCGATCCGTGTTAGTGTTTAACGCAGGCCCCGTGAAGTGTGAGTATGTGTGTGTGGCAGCCGAGCTAAGGGAATGTGAAGGGGATCAATATGAAGGGGTCTATTCCTGCCACGCACCGTGCGTCCGTGCGTGCGCGAGTCAGTCAGTGTCTACGAGTGTGTGTGTACGTGTATGCGAGCGAGACTGTGTGTGCCGGCTGCCCTGGCTACAGCCGAATCAATACGACAAATGATTACCATTTCCACAAACCTCCCTCCACAGCCTCACTTCGGCCGCTCTCGGGCCTCGACACCCCTCCGCCAACACTCCACACAGACACACACACACACACACACACACATATATATATATATATATATATATATATATATATATATATACATATATACACACACATAAACAACCCCCCTTCCCTCCACTCTTGACCCATACCTCTAAAAAGCCGATATAAAAATGAGAAATTACAACTTTATGAATAGTAAAAGCATCCGGGCCTTTTACGGCCAAAAGTTTTTTGACCATAATCTGAAGTTAGCATATTATTGATTTTACAGTTAAAAAAAAGAATGACTAGGCAGGGAAAGACCACAAAGTCAGCATCTGTCTATTAGTTTTTATTGGCTTCTGTGTTAAAACGACTCATCCAAAAATATCAAAACCTTAATAGAAAGCCCAGTATTTACCCAACTAAATCTTTCTAACACCGGTGATAAATGTGATTTATACTTCGTACTTAAGTTCATTAATCAGTCTATTAAGTGCTAAAAAAAATGCAACTTTAACTTACTACCACTTTTGTCTGTTCTGTCTACAACTTATTATTTTCATTATCATTTAATCTGCCAATTATCTTTCATTTTTAATTATTTACACTGTCTAGAGCAGTTCCCAAGGACCCAAAACCTAAAGTGTCTTCACATGATTATAGGTTTTATCCTCTCAGAAAGACAAACCCCAAATGATAGAAGATCAAATTTTTAGATTTGAAAGGCTGGGGAAACTTGTTTTGTCATTTCAGATTATATTTGATTACTTTATAAAAAATGTCACGGATAGCTGTTGCATTAAGAGATGGCCGATAGCAGAAGGGTGACAAAAATAAGAGAGAAACAAGAAGGCGATATCTCTAGGCCACCAGTGCTCTCCTTAGATCCTACAGTTTTCCTTGGGTAAGAAGTGAATGATGAAAAAGTAATGATCAAAAAAATTATGAAATATGAAACCTTGATAGTTATGAAGGCACACCAGCAAGAGCTGGGCAATTTTAATTAATTTTCTTCTCAGATGATTAGAAGGCGATAAAATGAAGAATAAAAATCCGTATACGTTTGTATAATGAAAGGAAATCGTAGCCGACTACACTCAGAATCCCTCGCTAAATGTTCCTCAGCAACTTTAAAGCTGAGACTAATAAAGCAACTCATTGGTAGCAAAAGTTGAAGCAAAAGCCGTACAGCCAAAACAAAAGGAAGAGAAAATGTCTGACAGATCGGTCCGTAGAGAGAACATATGATAGGATGAACAGAGTGGGAGAGAGAAGGAAAGAAAGAGAGGAGGCGTCCTGTGGAGAAAGAAGGGGGATTTCCCACAGCACAGATGGAAGCCATTAGCATGGTGCTGTTGCTTAAAAACCTTTCATGTCTTTGCAGTTATTAGATAATACCCGGTTAACAGTAAACAGCATGATTCTGCAAATGGATATAATATGCAGGCACAGCGATTGTTTTACCATACAGCATCTAAAATTGGTTAAAATCTAATAAAATGTAATAATTCAGAATGTAACCTATAAAGTCTCCATACTGAGTTTTAAATTGTCAGTTGACGAGCAAAATGTTCCATGGCTCAACTTAACCAAGAAACTCCCCGAGACGGAGACCGTAGCGGTGAGGTCATGTCGAAGCCAAAGCCGCAACCACAACTATGCGTGCACAAACAGCAACACACAAACACACACTCGACTGGGTGATACATGCTTGCTGATGTCATCACCGCAGCTCTGGTGAAACAGAGAGGTCAACCAGAGGTCTCACCTCTGAACTCTGCGACCCAACATCTGCTTGCTCACCTTCTCCCATCAATACATGTTTGTATATATTTTCTCTCGCATTAATCCAGGAGCAGATAAAAGGGAAAGCAGTTCACATGTTCAGGAACAATGTAACATTTTGCTTTGCAGGCTCAAACAATGTATGCATTTAGAGCTCAGGGCTGTTCTGTTCAACACATGTTCGGTTAAAAAAAAAAAAAAGCCTACTGTGCGTCGCACGTAAAAAAGTCTAAATGTTTTTGATTACCGAGCTTACGCGAGGGACGGCGGGAAATGGGATGAGAACGGAAGCCGCTTTCCCTTTTTCCTTCTCTTTGCTTCTTACCTTATTTTCTCCTCTGCTAGCTTGCCTTCATTCAGACACCCCTCCATCCGCCTCACCTCCTCTGCACGGGCTGCCAACTCCTCCACTGAGCAGGAGAGAGAGAGAGGGGAGACAGAGGAAGAAGAAAAGTGTGCGATAAAGAGCAACAGTTCATTTCAGACACACTTAGTTGGGATTCATTAGAGAACAGGCCTTATTCAAATAATCACACAACCACAAAAAATGCAAAAAAAATAGTCATAAAATTGCCTCAGATAGCTCTCGATGCAGAGATGATTTTGTTTTTTGAACTGGATTAAAGAAATAACTCTCCGAGATGACTACACACTTGCATGACACTTTACATCTCCTAGCAGGCAAACGTTAACTGGATGATTTACAAAACCTGCATACGGAGATCTTTATTGATTCTTGTCAAGTTCAGCACGAGTGGGAAAACATGAACTGCGAGTCACCTTCAAAGCGAACCAAGAACTCTGCCACAGAAGAGGCACTGAATGCCTTTCAGAGGCGGAGAGGGAAGGGAGGAATGAACACAGTGCACTGCTTACAGTTGGTCGGCGAAGCAACCTTTTGTTGAGAGACAAAAGGGGTGCTCCCTGGTTTCGTCAATAGATGGCACTCTTTACCTTGAGCAGGCCACTTGAGCTCATACCCCTGACTGCAGCCCTTCAATCACATACCCTTTTCAGCCGTCTCTTCCATCTACATGCAATAAAACCCCATTGTCCTACACTTAGTAGTTTAGCACATTGAGGGATGCATAATAAACCACTAGTCAGGTTTCTCAGCTAGGTTTGCTTTGCAGGCCCTGTTCAGTTTGAATTTAAAATTTAGGATTTGCCCCCGCACTCCCCTCTTTTTTTTGTTCTGTATGCTGTTTTGTGAGTCAATGTTTCTTCATAGCTCTTAAAACCTTTTCACTAAATTCAGTATTCATTGAATATAACATAAACTGTCAGCCATCGGTGACCAAGGCTAGTGAATATTGAGAAGGTCTGTGCGCTGAATATGAAGAGGTGTGTGCGCTCCTGAGTCTGTGTTTATGTGTGCACGTGTGTGTGCGAGTGCGGGTGTTTGTTGAATATTTACGGAGCGGACCTTGACTTTCTGAGTGTGTATTTGGGTGTGTGAAATAGAAATATAGGAAATGTGTATTTCTGTAAGCTTTTTAAGGCCACACAGAATGCTAGGATAGAAGTGGTGGGAAAGACTGAAGAGGAGGAAGCCAAAACCAATACCATAAAGGAAACAATACAGAAAAGAAAATCCACATTTAATAAAACTATGACTAATTTATGGTTTTGTTGCATCAAAACTGTTTAAACTAAAGCCCTAGGAAAATTGAAGCTGCAACTGGAATTGCTAAATATTTAACGATGCGCTTTTATTTGTGTATCTATGTGCATGCATGTGCCCTGCCTTGGCTATTTTACCGAACCTCAAGGTGAAAGTTTTGCTATGAATCTCAATAATCAATAAAGTGGAGATGTGAAAACTTGAGATGGGGATCAAATTCGTATTCAAGACATTCGCTTTTCAGGTGACCTCAGTGACACCTTCCACCAGGGGAAGCCACAGAGAGAGCAATTAACTGCATGCGCTGACCGTTTACACAAACTCTCTTATTTGTGCCCGAGCTCGCATAAATAAAGATGCGCACAAAACTGAAATACACACTGAAAATTAAGTGAAAAACAAATTTGTAGAAATACGAGGGGAAAAAATGGGCACAAAGGAAGCTGGTGCAAACACATACAAGTCCTTACTTAAATGTGGTATATATTTAGCTTGATGACCAAATACTGACTATTTTTTTCCGCATAAAATGAGGATCTGCAGAGGGGGTGTGGATTTTGACACTTCTCTCTTTATCTTAGTAAAAGCAGAACTGCGATCCATATCCTGAGGTCTGAGGCCCTTAGCAAACTGTTTTGAGTGGCTTCATGAGCTGTGTCCGTAGTTCACAATTTAAGATCTTCAGTCCTTCTCTTTCTTAGCTCTTTGATTCTTGTCTTCACAACTTACGGTGTGACATTAGGCCACAATGTAACTCTCTCCCGATCTCTCCTTCTCAGTGCCTTCGTAGGAGCTTCAAAGCCCATCATGCAGCATCAGCCTATAATCACAGATCTGCGGTCAGATTACCCTGCTCTCACCGCTAACCTTTAACATGAGAAGGATGAAAACCTTGCTAACCCTGAATCAGTGGTTGGGGCTAGGCCCGGCCCTGCCTGGCCCTCATAAAAGCTTCATAAGGCTTCATGGGAGCTTCCTTTGGCTTTGTTGGGGGATTCGGAGCCGGCTAAGGTGCTCCCGAGAGATGTCCCAAAGCCTCCCAAGACTCTTTCTCTCTCTTTCTGAAGTTTCATGGGCTTGCAACACTGCTTTTGGGTATAAGCCAAAAGGTGCAGACACACAGCCGCACACTGTCATGCACACAAATACACCACAAGAAGACCAAAAAAAAAAAAAACACACCTTGTATGCACACAACAGTGAACACTCACAAAGACAAAGACTAACACACACAAACACACACGCGTACACCCCAACACACTCCCCTCTTGCTCTCTCCTCTTCGCTTTATTTACAATCCTCTGGCAGCGGTACAAGGGCCCGGGGCTATAACACACGGCACCTAATGCTCAAACTGCCAGGTAATCTCATGTCTGACATCCCCCTTTGATAGAAACTGATCAATAGACTCTTGTAAAGGAGTCATTTTCTCTGATGTTTCTACCAACCACTTCTCTCTATCTCTAACTCTCTCTCCTTTTCGCCCCCCCCCCCCCCTTCTCTTTTATTAGCCATACATTTATAATTCATATTTCAGCGGGGCTGAGTTTGCTCTGAGACAAAGAGGGAGGGGGGGGTAAGGGGGGGGGTATGCTTCTTTGTGTAATAAAGAACAATAGTGGTGAAATGATGGGGAGAAATGCCAGTGTTTGCTGCTGGTTCCGGTGAACAACAGTTTTGGGGATCGATAGAGTGTGAAATGGGATTATAGCTAGTAATAGAGGTGAATTGGAGGAGAGAGGCCTGTGCACGTGTGTGTCCGGGGATCCAGACTGGATAGCAGCAGCGCACACACACACACACACACATGCACGCACACACATTCACACGTACAAACGAGTGCACGCACAAACGTGCAATAATGATTTCATCATCTTTAGGCAGATGCACATCAGCAGCACAGAGGGGTGGTAATATCACATTTCTGTTTTGGTGGAAGTGTGGAAATAAGGATATAGTGTTTTTGTTTATGCCGTTATTTCATTTGTTGTCACACGGCATCACATTTATTTTGCATTATAACCAACCTTACAACACATCTTATTTAAGATGTAAGATGACTCTACTAGTCGGGCTTGAATATTTTAAAGATCCATCCCCGTCCGTGTTTCACGAGCAGATGCTATGAAAACACCTACTTAAGAGTACGCCACATCTGATTTTCCTGGAAAACAGATTACGAATACAATCGTCCCTTCGGTACACCTTTATGTGCATTTTCTGTAATGGCTCGTGTGCACTGTATGTTCGAAATAGTGCAATTTTCCGCATGTATCACACACGCCCCAGCCTATTCCGAGAGCCATAAGTGACAGAATGACAGTAAATTTGACACAAGCACCCATACGCCAAGTTTAAGGACTTTTTTCTATCCTTTTTAATCACTCCTTTCTTTCCAGTCTCTTCATCCTATCCTGACACAGTCTGATTGAATCCAGCTGCCTTCAGACACTTCAATCTAATCCATGTGACACTTCCCTGGTTTCCAACTCGTTCTCTTTTCCTGCTTCTTTCCTTCTGTCTGGCCACAGAGACCTTTATATAATATCCATTACTCCCAAACTACATTTATATCTTAAACTGTAGAAAGCATATCAACAGCATTAGAGGTAAAAATGCTTTGTTAAAAACACCAAAAATGGCAGTTTATCTCGTTAACTGTCTAAATAGCAACATCAAAAATGACTTTGGACTGATATGATTATTACTTCTGAAAACCTGATACTGGCAGCTACTGTGTTGATAATTCATTGATTTTTAATTTACCAGATGAGTAATTTTGTAATTTTACATAACAATTTACAGACGACTGGGTTATAAAAGGCTAATAAGTTATGTAGAGTAATTTAAAGCATCTTAAATATGCATTCCTGATTAAATTATTCTGGTTAGAGTCACCTCTAGCATACATTTTCTTGTTAACTCATAATTGTATACCTGTTTCTGCCCGTCCATATTTTTCTTATCATTCAAACCTGTTCACGTTCACAGTCCAGTCCATCTTAGATGAGGTCTGCTGTTATTAAGCAACAAACAAAATCATCACCACTCAATGAAATGTTTTCATAATACAGAAAGAACCTCGACGAGGGCTTCATGTTAATAAAAAGGCCCTTTGTTCATGACAGTAATTTCTCAAGCTGACTCCTCACCCAGTTTATTCAGACCACTGCTATATCCAGGTAAACAATGCCCCCTTTGTTATAATAATGCATCTTTATTCTTCTTAAGTCATTACAATAGGCTCTGCATTGCTGGATTGTATTTGCTGAAGGTAAAAGCTGAATAATATGTGGTTTTGTGTGTAGAGTAGAGTTGAGGGAATGCGTTTTGATCACAGACAAAGGCCAGGCTACACAGCGTTGTCCTTCTGTCTCTATCTTGTTAATGAGCAGTGTTCAGTGAGCAAGCCAGCCACTGTCTGCCACAGAGAGAGACCTCAGATTCATCTCTCTGCGGACAATAGGTGATTGTGTGTGTGTATGTGTGTTTGTACCTTGGAGAGCCAGTGTGTATGTGCTAATTAAAGCAGTGGGAGTTGGAAGAAATGGCTGCAAGCGTGCGCATGTGAGGTGTTTGCCTGGCGTGACCGTCGATGTGTACGTTAATTCTTAATGAGACATTTCTGTGCCCAGAGAGACCCAGCCATCACCATTCCTACACTGACGCACTACTACAAAGGCCACCATTGGCCACACGCACACATGTACAGACACACACAGAAACCAGATCATTACCATACAGCTAAAGCAGTGCACCATTAAATCAAACCTCTACCTACAGCGTGTGTGTGTGTGTCTGAGTTAACATGGTGTGCAGACAGCTAGCTACAAAATCACCACACTGCTGGCTAATTTGAGCTAACTGATTGAGCTAACAGCAGTGCGGGTGGTTCTGCAACAAAAGACAGGACAGGCTGCGTACTGTAGCTCCTCTGGTATGTGATGGGCTTCTGATCGCCAATAATGTCCAAAACCTTAGCAGCGGGGAAATGTTCATAGAGTGCTAATAATAAAGGCAGGGTGATGAATGGATCAAGCAGTGAACTGACATAAAATCTTTGCTTTTGGTCATGTTGACTTGCTTGTTAAAAAAATGTGGATGCTGAATCAAGCACTGGTGAAATACAGGTTAATTTTCACATGATACTGAGTATAGTGTTAGTTCAGGCAGGCCACAAAGTCAAGCATAGCCATATTCCTGTCAGATCAATTGATCTCCATGCTTGCCCACAGCTGGAGGCTCAACTAATGCATCTAGCTGGCAAATCTCATAAAGGCCACACTGTGTAAGTGTCTTTAGGAACCTACGGCTTCTTCTCATCTACATGCCACATTGCAACCCACCTTTATCCCTACTCTTCCTTTTCATGCTGTGCTGACAGATTCATATAATGCGTGCAATAACACTGTCATTGAACCCTACTCTGTTTTATGTTGGGGTCTGGCTCTTGCTCTCTCCGACTACAGACATCCACGAATGCGCGCCGAACAGCAGAGAAGTCCCTGAACAGTGACATAATACTGAATATTAATAGCGTTCTTCTTATAAATATATTAGTCCTAACTGAAATATGTATATGTTATCAACATGAATATACGGTTGACGGAAAATTATTACTTTATGACTAACTGCATACATGGATCAGGACCAACGGCAGCTTATCAGTTTATGGACTGATTGCTACCTGTAACTTGGTGACTGCTGCGCAGCTCCTCCAGCTCTTTCCTCAGCTTTCCGATGAGAGTGCTCAGGGTCTCATTCTCTCTGATAGCACTCTGCAGCTTCTGCTGCTCCTTGTGTAACGCCTCCTGAAGCATCTGGGCCTTTCTTCTCTCCACATCCACCTCTCGGCTCTTTCTTGCAGACTCTTGTCTGGCCTCCTTCAGTTCCTCATCTGACTGCCTGAGGAGTGTCACCTGTACCTGCAGCGTACGGGCCAAAGAAACATCCAGCGTCTGTTCGGTTTAAATATGTTGCACAGTTGTGTTTATAATGTGCTGTTGCCATGTAACAGTTGCCATCAATAGATCTCTAAATATATCATCAGAAATCACTTATTATTTGCTTTGCTTGCTGCTTACATTTAAAGAATTTCCAAAATGGTATCGCATCATATTGTATGGTCCTGAATAAAAACCGAAGATAAAAGATATATATATTTCCATTTAATCTAAAGCTGGAAAAGACAGAAGGTGGTGGAAATGATGGTGGATATAATAATAATAATAATAATAAAACAGAAAAACATTATGAACCAATATAAATTCTGTGTTTCTGTAAAAAACACACACATTTAGCAACCCAAAAAATACAGTCAAATACAATTTCCTTAAAAAAAATGTTTTTAGTGTTAATGGCTCTGAACTCAGCCCTTGTATGTATGACTGATCACTCATGTAAAGGATTAGACTCTTGTATAATTATGTATATATGCATAATGATAAAAGTTAATAATGTGTACATGCATTATGCATGTGATGAATGTAGATGTATACTTCAAGATATGTGTACCTACATGACACGGACTCATTATGTGGTATTCCACAGGGAAGTTGTGTGAATGAATGGGCAAGACCTGACAGCAAGAGAACCTGCCGCTGTGTGTGTTTGTGGGAGTAATTGTAAGTGTGCGAGCACATGATTTTGGTAAGAGTAACACGTGTTTTGCTAATATGTGACAAACACAAATTAACGTGCGAAATCAAATATTACCGTTTCCACCTACCCATACACGGCTAAGCAAGCGTACACACAAACGCGCGCAAACATAGACACTCACACACTCACACACATACAAATGATGTGTCCAAGACTGCCAGGAATGCTGGCGTTCTGCCAGGCTACAGTCACCACTTTGAGTAATTTGAATATTTAGTGTCCCATTGAGCTCTTAATTGGAGTCAATTTCACCAGCCTTGGCACCGTTTGGTGCTTTAATTAATGGCGAGGCAATTTGTTTCTGCCAGACAATCGCAGGACAATCACATGAGTGGTGGGTGTGTGGTGCCCGTGGAGGTGGTTGAAGTACTCCTCTTTGGGAACTCAAACATGTCCTTAGATTGAAATGACTGCATCGCGAACATTTAAGGACAATGGCAGATGCGTCTGAATTTAAAAGCAGACGGGACAAAGGTCAAATTAATATAGCTCTCACTAAATTAGAGGACAGGTCAGCAGATATGCATTATTTTAATACCTTTTGGGCGTTCGCCAGTTCACGCTCTAAGGATGCCACTTCCTGTTTTGAACGAATCACTTCCTGTTCCAGCTGTTTTTGATTGCTCCGGTGAGTTTGCTGGGAAGCAGCGAGACTTGGTTTCAGACCCAGCTTTTCCTGGACTCTAAGGTAAGGAGAGCAAAGAATAATTGCCTGAGCAAACCGGTCTGTAAAAAATGTGCTGCCCAAGTTAACACAGCGTAATAATATGTAGACCAGATAGCATATTAATGATTACTGAAATTAAAAAAAAAAGATTTCAATAGATTTTTACATTTGCCAAGTAACATAATATATCTACTGTGTGCCATTTAGTAAGCAGACTGTTGCGAAAATGAGAGCGAGTTGGGGGTGGAGACTGATGAGAAGGGCATGAAAGGAGAGACAAGGACAGAAACCGAGCAGCAGAGGAGAATGAGAGTTTTATAGACTCTGTTATTACTGTCTCTCTAGCTCTGACTTCATCTGAAGAATAGTGTTTTCACACACCGCAAGGTGTTCAACCTGTGCCGCACAGCGCTGAAACACACACACACAAAGAAAAAATGAGTGCTGGAATGTAGCAAAAACTGTTTGTCCATGTAAATATAAAACAAACTTTAAATATAAGCCTACATTTACATTTATCATCGTTACTTCTGAATACTGGAATGTCAACAAATCTTATCTCTCAGCTGTTATCACTGAACATAACTGTAAGTATTGAAACTGTGGCAGATATATTTTAATGTTTCATTGTGATGATAATACACAGAATGCGTAATCCCAGCAGTGCCATGCAGGATATTACCTTCTGCAGCTGCTGTCTGAGTCTTCCTAGACTCAAATACTCCTCATCAGAATGAGAATGGCTCCGACGATAGAGCTGCAGGTCGCACTCCACAGCAAGTTTCTATAAGTAACGAGAGAAAGGGAGAGTAAGTGATATAGATAGTTAGAAAAAACATATTTTTTTAAGAACATCCCGCTTGTTTAAATCTTATTTTAATCGGTTCTATAACCCAAAACACACCTAAACAGAAACTTAAATAGAAACAAACCACCAAGTCAAGACACAAAAGGGCGAATGAATTGAATGAATTGCATTTCAACAGATTACACTTATTTTGGTTTACTAATAAATGGCAGTGGCATTGATGGGCCATTAAGGAAGCACATTATTTTGTGTTACACTCATTTGTGTATTGATTTGCACAGAGAAACATGACCTTGGTGTTTCAAGCACATTATACAAACTGTAAAACAACAAGTTCGAACTTAGCACGTGACTCTAGCTCATTGGAAGTACTATGAGCAATCGCGCTCATGAACATCTGCATTGTTCTCTTAATTACAAATGTATGTCTCTTTGGAAAACAGTGAAAGTGTTACACTTTGTTTTTTACTCCCGAGAGCATCGCCAGGAGTAATGCTCTCGCTTTTTTTTCATAAATTGCTTAATGTATCACTACCCTCAATCTTACCCTATTAGCTGCTGTCCTTTATACAGGCAAATTATGTAAGTAATTCAAAAGTAGACATCTTTATAGGAAAAGGAAGAAATCTTACTTATCTTCAACTGTCCATCTTTATGTTATAGTGAAATATTCTCTAGTCGAATATAAATTGACCAGTAGAGATAGAATTAAGATACTACACTCACGTTTTCTTCCCCATTTATCCCTCAAATGTGAAACGCTATAACTTCTAAACTGCTTTTATAGTCATGTTTTCTTTCATTTAAAACTGTTTCATGTTTTCCACACTGTATTTCTTCGTAAACAGGGAATAAAGGCAATGGTGATTTTAGGGTTAGCTAAGCCCAACAGTGACATGAGGTAGCGCATTAGCAGGACGTGAAGCTCCATAAGAACTCCTAACCTCTTGATAGGCGCCTTACAATCAAAGTCATTAGCCAGTGTAATAAAGGGCCTGAGATACAGCCATTCTTCAACAGCCTAACTCTTTTATAACCAACAGATTAAAGTTGATTGGATTAAAATGACATTCTGCCCGTCTGACCTTGGCGGCAGCAGTTAAGTTCATCCAAATTAAATTTCTCCGTAATAAAGATGATTCATTTGTTGCCTGACGTAGTAAATATAAAACAGAAAGGGGGAAAAAAAAGAAGAAGAAAAGATTAAGTGACACACGCCAGTGCACAGATGCACAAATGCGCACTAGTACACACACACATATACATGCGTGCGTACAATGACACAAGCACACAGAGCAATATATCCATGCATGCACTTGTACAGCATGATTGGAGCTGGCAAGCACCTGGGTGCACTTGCGAAAATAGAGAGACACCCATCGGAGTTAACCCCAAAAAAACAAGGCATGTATTCAGAACCTAGTTTTTAAGGAGGTGGGTGCATCCATGAAAAAATACATAGTGAGACAGTAAAGTGTGCAACAGCATTAGTTTCTTAGTTTGAAATGAAAAGCTGAACTGGTTTATGACCGAGTTTTCCACTGATCTCACAGTCAACCTCATTTGTTACGTGACATGATTACACAGAATTAGTGTATACAATGAATCACACTGTTTTCAGATGTTTCATTAAGTGGAAGGAAAACAACTCTTTTGCAAGAAAGGTTAATACTATTTGTTACGCAAGCAAATCAGGTTGTCCACATAGATATAAAGGATTAACTATGTTCATGTATTTGTACGTGTGTTTGTGTCTGGATTTATCCTTTTGTTATTGCTGTGTCTGCATTACGTAAATGTTTTCCCAAACCTGCTGATTGAGTGTGTCCATCTGCTCCTGAAGGGATCTCATCAGGTTTTTGAAGTGCTCCAGTTTTTCTTCACTCTCTCTTAGCAGGTTGTGACTGGCCTGAAGTTCATCTGTTAGTTGGTCAAGAGCCTCCTGTGAATTCTCCCACTGGCCAACCTTTTCCTGATACCGGCGCTCCAGCTCAGCTAGCTCTTCCTTCAGCGAAGAAGCTGCTAACTGCGACTCTCTTAGCTGCCATTAAAACAGGTAGTCAGAATCAAAATTAAAGACATATTAGACAAAACGTATGTACGTATTTAAAGGCTATATCGGCCATTATTAACCTTTTCCTGTGAATATTGTAGTTCCTCCTCCAGACGTTCCACATGCTCTTGCACCCTGCGCGCCTTCTCTATTGCTGCCGTGTATTTCTGCTTAAAAATCGCAGCCGTTTCTTTCTGCTCCTGGGTGTGCAAATTGGCCTCTTTGAGCTCATCCTTGGATTCTTTCAGCTGCTGATTAAGAAGTTCCACCTCCTCCTTGTCCTTATTCAGCTTCTTTTCAACTGTATCAGCCTGAGAGCAAAATCAAACAGAGTACAGATGCTGATGTTGACCTTTGTTTTTCAATAAAGACGATGAAAGCAGTCAAATTTAAAAAGACACAGTGGCACGTGTGAATGTGTGGAAAAAAAAGTAGGAAGCAATAAATAATCTTGCAAAACGTAAACTTTTATATTACATAAACTATTACAGCAGCAACCATCATCATCATTATCATTATGCTAAAATTCAAACAGTGAAACCAAAGCCATTACTCAATGCTTCGTGACTAAACGTGCCTTAAAAAGCTACTTGAACAGACCCATGCTAGTTTGTTTAACATGGTGTAATTTACTGCACTGCTCTACAGTAACCTCTGTCATAATGAAAGGGGAACTCAGGAAGTGAAACCGGGCTTAATCCTGCCGTTACACTAGGAATCCTACCGTAGCTCACCTTTCAAGGGGAGAGGTTGAGAAAGTTAAACCCGCTCTAACACTCAGCTTGAGTTCATCCACATTAATCCCGCTGTAATCTGGATCAGAACACGAGGGTTTTACGACTAATGACAGCCAACTAGTTAGATTTCAGCGGTTCACTGCAGCTCGGTTTAACCAGGGATTAACTGGGCCCGCAGGACTAACACTGGATTGAAGGTGGCACGAGAGAGAACTTGCTCATGCAAAAGGAAGAAAGAGACAAACCAGAGGAGAGGAGTCATCGACTCTTACTCTCTGTTTTAGAGTGGAAAGACTGAACAACCTGTGTAGGTGTACGGCCGCGTGCGTGGACTGCTTAAAAGCATTGACTCAGCCCATGCAGCCTCTGTTTTATCTGAGCGTGATGGTGGTGAATGGTGAATGTTTGACGAGGTTGTCTGAGGTAACAGTTTTAAAAATAATCACACGGAGAAGAACCACACGCTATAAAGTGAGACGTCGTACGTCGGCTTTACATATCAAAGCTGTATTTATTACTTGCTCTACTTGTGTCACTGTATTTCTCTCCTTTAATGAATTCACTATCCTACAGGCCAAACACTAATGGTGGACTTTGCATTTCTTTCTGTTACTGGATGAAAGGCCTCATAACAAGACTTAATGGGGACACTATGGCTTTCTTGTGACCATAATCAGGAGCGTGTGCTTTGGGGAAACAAACAACCCTCATTAAACATGATGGAAAACACATCTGACCCTCATGACCTGACAAGCCTCATTTGGCCTGATGTTTGAGTATTCACTGCCGTCACATGACTACCCAAGTTGACCCTAAATTGATAATAACTTTATTCTTGGTCTTCATTTCCATGTCTGTATTCATGCTTAGTTCCAATTAGATGTGAGAGTTTCACAAACAGTAGAGTCATCGTGTCTTGTTTAGTAATTCAGATGATGTAGATTGGAATATATGTAAGATGACTACAAAATAAAGCTTGTCTGCCGCAAGCGAGTCGTTTTGCCGTTCCTGGCAGAAAACTCTGACTACTTGATTGTCTACCGTGATTTAGAGCGCTCGCACTCAAACGCACAAGTGCATCCGATTTTTCCTTTTATGTTCCTCATTGGATTATCGCAGTAGATGGCTTTTCTGTTGGATTATGTCTCAGCCGACAGACAAGTGAGCACACAAAAGAGTCGACTTCTGCGCCGTTATGGACCTCCGACTTAAACCGTCCTTGAGCTTTGTGACCTCCGGCTCTCGGTCTTTCAGCCTGCTGTGCATTTGGCCGAGCTCAGAGTTGTTCTGCTTCAGTCGGCTGTGAAGCACGGAGCCGGTCCCCCCTCCGGGTTACGCTTCAGTTTTGTGAGCCTGTTTCACGACTTCCCGGTCAGAGTTCAACTGATCCATAGATTTCACAAGAAGTGAGCAAAGGTGAAGAGGAGAGGAGAGAGTTTCTCTTTACCTGTTGCTGCTTAATACGGAGCTGCTCTTGTAGCTGCTGTTGTTCTTTCTCCTTCTGCTCTCTAAGGTGCTCGATATCGCTGACCTTTTCGCTTAACTGACAGGCCTCTTCCTTGTGCGCTCTAATCGTGCAGTTTAAGTGTCTTACCTCTTCCTCCAGGGCTGTCACCTGAGCCAAAAGAAAGAGAAAAAAAGATGAAAATTGAAAAGGATGGAGACGAGGAAAGCTTTACGCTGGGATACTATGCACACCCAGACAGACAGAAGAGACAGTGAGGGGGTGGCAGTAACCAAAAAGTGAGTGTCAGGTTTGAGTCAGAGAGTTTCCCAGTTTAGTCTCAGGACCAGCTGGGAAAATGTAGGCACAGCATGAATGAGTAACGATTCCCTTTTCCTTAGCTCCAACTTTCGCAGAGCCTTTGAGCAAGGTGCTACACCTCCCATTGCTCTGATGGAGCTGCTCGGTAGCCAACAGTAGAAGACTGCTGCTGGTTTGGGCACTTCCCTTGAGTAGATGTGTGCAACTCTGTGGGTGTAAAGCAAGGAAGTGTTGAAAAAATAGGGGTGATCACTGAACCTAGCCTCGGCATATGAAAGAAAAATAAAAAAAATTGTAGGAGAGAATTGAAAGCCCTAAGACAAATTTCAAACCCAAAAACCAAAGCATAATATAAAAAAGAAAGCGCCTTTTTCCTAAAATACTGCTTAAAAACGGCCAAATATGCAGCTTTAAAGGGAAAAACATGGAGTTTCCATTTCTCCAAATTGTATTTTTTAATCTCTAAAAACTGCATGACACAACCTGAAAAGTGAACGCAGACGAGCCACCGCACCTGCTTCTGTGTTCCTCGATGCTTCTGTTCAGCTGTCTTCATTTCGGCTCTGAGCTGCAGAATTAACTCATCTCTACTTCGAACCTGAAAACAGAGAAAATTAACAAAATTAATAAAAACGTGCATTTAAATAAGTTGCACGTCCTGGCATTTTAGCCTCTCCAGTTCCTTTAATTAAACAGACAGAGAGAGATGGACCTCAAGGTGTGAGGTGTGGAGTTTGTGGCTCAGAGCCAAGTCAGCCTCCAGTTTGGCTTTGCTCCGGTCGAGGTGGGCGCACTCTTTGCTTCGGTCCTCCATCAGGACTCTCAGCTCATCCCTCTCCTCACGGAGCTTCTCCAAAGACCTGTCTTTTCGAAGCAACTGTTACATTTGCACATAAATTAGCATCCGCACCAGGGGAAAAAGCTTTAAATGTCCAAAGATAAACATATAAGGAAACAATATTAATTATAAACCCACTCAACATTATCCAACAAACAATTAAAAACAGGATGCTTTAAAAAGTGATTCCATTATCAAATTTCAGTGTGGTTGACAATAATCATGAAAAATGAAACTGATGTGTTTTTTTTTACCTCTTTTTGACACTCTGAGTGTTGTCCCTTACTTTCTGTGAGCTCCTTCATCAGTGTACAAATCTTAACCTCCCTCTTCTGTATCTGTAAGATGAAAGCATTTAATCACACATCAAACACCCATTTTTTTGTTGCTTTTGTTTTTTAAATCGCAAAGCCACAGCCGATCTCATAAGATTCGGACAAGGGAACGTCGTGTTAAGAACATTCGCTGGCGACTCTGTCACCGTTTACTGAACTCGAGATAAAATATTCGAGTTGTTGTTTTCATATTTGTGTGTTTCAGGTAATGGTGGCGGTGATGGGTGAATGACACTGCATACAGGGAAACGATTGTTGATGCTTCTCTTGAGTATACGCTACGTCTCACAGTAGCTTGTGTTTGTCTGTTTCCTTGGTGACCTTCCCTAATTACCCACTTCTGCTCGATGCCAAATGAGTGCGTGAGCGTGTGCGTCTGCATGTCTGTGTGCGCTTTCATGTGGGTGTGATTCCTTACAAGTTTGCCTCGGGGAAATGTTTTGGACATTTTTTGTTCTCATTTCTCTTCTGTACGTGTTCACCGACTTCCTACCTCGCCACGGTCTTTTTCTCATTGAGGTTGGTGAGAACGGCCAGGTTTGGGTGTCGAGCCAAAAAAGTTTCTTTTTAACTCTGGGATATTTTTGCGATGGCTTATTAACATTTTAAAGATGTTAAGTTGTTCTTTTAACCTTTCTACGACTGAAACGTGAATCTGATCATCTCCAAAACAAAAAAGCAAAATCAGCAGCCAGTATTTGGGAGTTGAAGACCGAGAGGAATAGGATGCTCTAAATTAATTAACCTTTTTTAAATTGACATGAAGGCAAGATTGTATTACTTGATATCTAATCCTGTGTTGTGAGTGATTTTACCACAATATCACTGACAATGCTGACAATAACAATAAGAAAGAAGAAATGCTATGTCTCGATCTAATTTTAACAGCTTATTTGTTATAGTTGAAGCAGACAAGTTTTCACTTCCAATTTGTAAGAGCCTTTCTTTTGGAATTGAGTCAAATGCTCGCTCTCCGTTTCTCTTTCCCTCCCCACCTGCTGTCTGTCATCCATGATCTAGGGATCGTTTTGACCAGAGTTGAGGGCTTGTTTGTAACTGTCCAGGGGGATTGATGGAGTTAACTTGGCTCTTTGGCCTCTCACCTCTGGCTGTCGGTGGCCAGGCTCACCAGACGCACTAAACCTGAGCTATGGCAAGTGAAGAAGAAGAAGGAAGAAAAAAAGCCCTGTGTATACACACCGCTATCCACGCACCAGTTAAATCACACAGGAGCATTCATGTAAACACTTCGACTCATACAAATAGGTAGTACCCTGGTACCGGAGTGATACCGGTGGTGTTTTGCATTCCACAGACATCAGATAAAAAAAACATGTGCACACAGAAGAAGAAAAAAAAAACTGACCAAAGCTTTTATTCATCTTACAAATACAAGTCATTCCACTTACCCATAGCAAACACTGCACACTCTCTTCCTGCCAATTGTTAAACCATAGCTTGATTTATCTTTGAGTGCGTGCGCGTGCATGAATTCCCAATGTGAGCGTGTGATAGGCAGAATGGATGTTGATAAACACCGGAGGACGTCGTGTCAAAACAGACAACTTGTCAAAACGACACGCTAACTAGGTCAATCACAAAGTTTAAGGAGAAACTTTGGAGTGGAGCTTTGGTTTATGCATATCTCTACCTGGATGTCTATGTGTGTGTGATAAGCTCCTGAACGAATCTGCAGGAGGGGACCTCCAATATCGAAGGTATTTTTAAATCAATGAGCTCTTAAGTGCATCCCAGTCTCAATGTGTTCACACATAACGCACGCACACAACACTCGGCGTAGATAGAATCCCCACTGACAGGCAATGACAAGATAAAGAGAGGGAGGAAAAAAAGAGGTGCGCAGGTGGGGGGGGGGACAACGACAGGAGGGGGAGAAATAATATTTGAACAGTTGGGGGTGGGTGGGGTAGTGAAGAGGGTGGTGGGGATGAAACAGAGATGTGGCAAGGCAAGAAAAGAAATGAGCAATAAGTGAGATCAAGAGAGAAAGCAAGGCGAGAGAGAGGGAGAAAAAAATCTGTAAGCTTTTCTGACAGTTGTAAAGCGCTGTGACCAGGACCCACGTCTGTCCCTGTCCAACCTTGAAGGCTCGAACAACTTTAGTCAACGCCGCTTACCTTCCACTGTACTGCTCCTACTCCGTTCTTTTGTGTTTGCTTTCACCTCTTTTTCCACTTTAAATAGGAGGGCATCTGAATTAGTTTTCCAAAAGTGCTTCATACACAACTTGTGCGTCCTTGCATTTTAAACTAAAGTCCAAGTGAGGAAGTTGAGGACACACTAGGCAGGAGAGTTAGCAGCAGATTAAAAATAAATAGGATTATAGTGCACACATCTGTTTTGAAACACAGCTTCATTTACTGTTCTTTAGTCTCCGCGCGCATAGAGTGAGATATTTTAAGATTTACAGTAAAGGGTCTGAAAGGTCGTGCCTCACATATAGCTCTATGGCGAGATTTTGTGGCTTTTACTGTCCAGCAAAATTGAACGTGAATCCTCAAGTCAAGAAATCCCCCGTTCTGCTTCCTGTGCACATTTGTGATCTGTGATCTTTAAAGAGGAGTTTGTGTGCGTGTGTGTCTTTTGGTCCTGGAAAGGTGAAGTAGATCATTTCTACAAAAAAAGCCGCTTGTGATGTTAATGATTTTATTATTGACACAAGGTGGTGGTGATGGTGGGTGGGGAGGGGGAGGGAGAGACAAGACTTCAACCTCATGTCTCAGTCGCAACAACATGTGGCTGTTCACATGATGTTGATGATGATGTGCGAGTTAGTTAGAAAAAAAGGATTCGGGATTAAAAAGGTAGGAAATTAAAGGGATTAAGGAGGAAGTTGTGCCCGTCCGATTCCTGACAAGCCTGGCTTCATCAAAAGGGTGTGTTTTTAATAAGGCTCTAAATTTAAGACTGGACATTTACATAAAAAAGGGCACACATCTGCTTTTATTTGACAAATTTCCTGTGTCATGTATGTCGTGTTAGTCACAAAAAAATTAAAAAATACAGTAAAAAAATGTCAACAGCAAACCGTAGCTGTCCTGCAAACATCAGTATCAGTGTTTGGTGAAATGTTGTTTTAACAGAAAAAAAATGATACCGCAGGGAGAGGAAAAAAGATTTAAACAGATGTTTCAGTGGTTTCTTATATAAATCTAATATAAACGCTGTGTCCACGCTGACTTCCCAAGAATTTCGGATAATTACGATTTTAAAGTGACTAGAGTACTTGTTCTCTGCAGCGAGAGCAGACTGCGTTCTCTTTTTATTCGGAGGAAAGAAGTGCAACTGTAAGTGAGAGGGCGAGCGAGTGCAAGAGAGAGTGAATCAGCAGAGTACATTTAAGATGAAGGAGAGAGTGTTGACAGTATTTGTTCAGCTGTGCTAATGTTTGGACATTTAGAGCCGCAGCGAAAAGAAAAAAAAAAACACTTAATGCAAAGTTCTCCGTTTCATTTAGATTTGAGAGGGAGCAGGGGCGCTCGCTCGCGTTCCCGCACACCTACTGCAGCCACCGTCCACACAACGACGGAATGAAGTGTGCATGAGGGAATGCAAAGCTGCAAGTGTGTGCGCCCTTGTGTGGGTGTGCGAGAGAGGGCTTGTAATACATCAGAGAAAACCAGTTTTTGTGCATAAAGCAAGGCCAGATGTGAAGCAGAAACCAGATCCCTGAGAGCTGTGGTCCATCCTTTGACTTAACCAGCACAAACATAAAAGACTTAAACACACCCACACGTATACATGTGCACACAGTTGCACGTGCACAGGTAACTGCATGAAATGTATGTGCGCGACAAAACACATGAGCACAAAACCGTTTTAGAAATTATTTAAAACTCTCCTGTATGTGACAGCTTAGCTTCGGTGACTTGTTTTTAAGGAGCTGAACTTCAGTGCAGCTGCTTTCATTGTGAAAATGAACTCCTGTGCACCCCCTAATTAAATTTCTTAAATTTACCCAAACTCCCATATAACATGAGCTACAGAGGAGCATTTTTAAATGGGCACTCTAATAAATGGCTGACTACTGTAACAATAGACTCACGGATAGCCAGCAAAATTCTGAACTTAACCTTCACCCTAAAAAATACGTTGAAAAAGCGTATTGTCAGTGAAGAGGCATCCCAGTGACAAGGACCGAACCTCATGTGCTGTGTTCTGTTTTTTTACAATTCCGAGCCCTTGAAATTTCCCAACGGCTTTGGGAAAGGTATCTTTGCAACCTGGTTAATTGAAGGTTAAACACAAACCACTAAGCACTAACATATGCTTTTGGTGTATCGCATAAAGGGCAGAGCAGGACAAAAAAAACAGGTCTTAGAAGCAATGTAGCACGTGACCACGTGATTTCCCAGCTTCGCCACAATCCCAGCAGTAGTGAAGCTGAAATCCCATTTTAGCGGAACAATCAAAATTTTTGCCAAGTCTGTCTTCATCAAAAGTATGTGTTTTTAATAAGGCTCTAAATATCAGAACATCCTATTACCCATTATCTAAAACCTTATTATCAGCACTATTGTAGAAATAGACAATGCCTGTCACAGTGAATATTACATTTGAAAATTTCATATTTAAATGAATCCCTCACCTACGCGACCCATCTTATCAGTCCCATTGTGGGGAAAGACAATGCATTACATTAAAGTGAATATTATATTTAATCTCCCATCCAGTAGAAATTTCGTATCTCTAGATTAACCATTTTTCTTCCAACGTGCCCGCTTTCTGTAGAAACTCTTGCTTTAATGGTGAGGTGGAAAACTCGCCTTTAACGTACCAATTGTCAACAATTTGAGGGGGAAAAACACGCACACGCTTCGGTTTAATTGTAAAACGACAAAGTCAAACAAAGCAAAGATTTTACAAGAATTCACATTTTAATATTTGAATTAAGACCTTGGAGACGAAGCTGATTACCTTCTTTTCACTGGTGCGACGCTCGAGAGCTAATTCCAGCTGTAGACGTCCAACCTCTTTGCTCG